ATGCGCTTTTCTCAAAACACTCGGGCGGGCGGGCCTCGGGGAGTGGCTATTTAAAACACTTGGCTCCTTTTATTTCACCACCATGGAAGTGAATTCTGCTCTTAAGTGCCAGGGCAAATGAAGTCATTTGGTTTCCACGGGCTCCCTTTGCATTTTAGCAGTGGAAGTCAAACTGGACGAAAGTCGGAAGGTCGGCCGAAGTTGTTCATTCTTCCAATTAAAATTGATTCCACTGAGGATTGGCGCCTGGACTTCATTAACTTTTCTCTTTGAAAAGACATTAAGGTCACAGAAAATTTAAAAGATATTGGACACTGGAATGAATTCTGTCAAAGATGACTCCCTTCACAAAATGTCATCAAGTCAGGTATAAAGACAAGCAGCTCAGGATGTCACCTTCTACAGACCTGATTGGTATTAAAGATGATGATTTTTGAAATATGGATTGATCAGATTTCTGCTCTTCCACTGTCTCAAAGAGAGTGTACTATCTATGCAGAGATTCTATCATTGATGGTAATAAAATATCCATGTATTTAGTTTACCATATAGTAGGGAAAAAGACACCAGTTTTCAAAAGAACTCAGCAACACATAGCATCTGGTTATGCAAAAATGCACAAGAGACAGGTCTGAATACAGTGCAAAGCAGGGGAGGGGAAGGTTGTGTCTTCATATCTACTTAACTATTACAGAAAGGCAGTCATTTCATACCTCCCCCTTTCTCCCCCCAATTACCCACACCTAGGCAGACAACGTTCTTGGATGAACTTTTCAAATTTTCTTAAACATTCTCAGTTTAGGGAAAAAAATATCCTTTCAAGTTAAATTGAGATTGCAGTTGAACTCCATCCAAGAGCAGAGCTGAACTGAATTATGATAATTAGAAAGCTGTGCCTATAAAAAAGCAGCGTAGTTCATGCATTTTTTTTTAAAGTTCATGCCAGAGAATATAAGTTCAATATGTTCTCACATAATTAACATTTCCCACCATTAGCGGCAGTTTTTCAGTTTATATATCAGTAAAAACAACAGCACTCGTCATTGTTGTATATTCCCAGTCAATAGTGCTTCAGTCACTTTACACATACATCTAAACCTGTGAGATGCCTAAAAGCAACCAGAATTTCCCACTGGAGACGTGGGGAGCTTAAAGTGTTAATCAACAAACAAGTTTTCTTTTAAACTCATTTTCCAGGGTTGGGCCCTGTCCCTCAAACTACAGCTGCTAATGAAATCCTAGGACAGCCTTAAACACAAATTTGAAAAAGAACAAAAAGCATTGATCAGGATAGTAAAAACTGATTTTAAACTGGTGAAGGGGGAGGGGGAAACAATATAGTCAGGTTGGAGCCTTCCCTTGGCTGCCACAAAAGTAGGGAAGAGCCTCTGAGGACACCCCTGACCCCAGCCAATCAGAAGAGATACCAGCGGTTTTACAGTTAGCCAGGACTCCCATACTATGGAAAGTATTTTTTTAAAAGCCTTCCAACCATGCAAAAAGCCAGTGGACAAAAGGCGAACTTAAGAGTTGAGTGTGACCCACCCTCTAAGAAATATCATCCTGAAAACCCACCCTTCAGAGTATTGCATTTGCTTTGACTCAAACAAAAATACATATTTCAAAATGCCCTCATTCTGCACCGCTACAAAGCCCAAATATAGCTTGGGGTGGGGGGGTGGGGGGAAGGTTGAATTTCAAACAAGAATTCAAATATGAGATGAGGTCAAGAAAACTTAGGATGAGATTCTTACAGATTGAAGGCTCTCAACAGGTTCACAGCTTTAAAACAAAGCAACATAAAAATCCACACAAAAACACTCGAGATATTTACACCCCAATATACTAGCATTCCACAAACTATCCCAGAAGAGGGAAGGCCCTGAATTTCCCTGATTTTGGACATATTAAGCACTTGCAAAACAAATGCTAAACAAGGTCTCACTGGGTACTGGTTTAAAAAACAAACAAACAAAACACCCCAACCCTGAAAAGTGAAATGCTTAGGAGGGACCCGAATCACTTGGTTGTATCACCTTTGTGAATATGAAAGACTAAAAGATATCACTGAGTTGTTCAAACCTGATTAGGGATCTAATTTAAATACCACAGGATAATCTGTGGCTTCTACAGATAAAATTTTAAAAGGCACCCTGCAGCTCTAAAAGATTACACCGCCCTGGGTTAGTCCCTAAGTAGCCCGGCAGCAGAGCCTAAGTTTTTGAAGGGGGAGTAAGTTTACAATAAATCCCTCCAGCCCAGTTCTGAGTAGGATATCGGCACTCTGCAGCTGCAGTCACTGAACCCTAAACGGAAAGCTGTAATCCCGCATTTATCAACAGAAAGGTGGGTTCCTGATTTTCTTGCAGGTCTACACAGAAAGCTGGACACTTGCTCTGGACAGTCCTCTTCAATCTTTGGAGAAAACAGACCCCAAAAGTTTTAGCACTAAACAGATCCAACCTCTTTTTTTCCCTTTCGCCATTTCTTTATGGGGAACAAGATAAAAGTGCCTAAAATACAAACTCAAAAGTGTTTACCCACTGCCTGCTTGCGAATATGGTCACTTTACATACACTGGATCAGACATGCAGTTATTTGCACCAACCCTTAGACTGATAAAACACCACAGTTTTCATTTGCAGGCAGTATAATTATGCTCACAATTAACAGATAATAACACATGAGATTAGAGTGAAGAGTAATCCCACAGATGCACAGGCTCTTGTAGGACTGCCATATATACGAGATTCAATCAATTTCTAAAGCAGGAAACCTGAAAATATTGTTAATGGCACAGCTTGTTTCTTCAAAGGCCTCTCTAACATTTGGAAGCCACGTTCTCTAGATGTTCCTGCCACATATTTTTCTTCTGAAAATGTAACAAGTAGGATCTAGACACTAATGATAAACTATATTTTCCCATTAAGAAAAGCCCTCTTACACTTGCTGTTCTATACTGTCAGTCAGCAAAATCCAAAACTGTTTATAAATGACTGAAGCTCAAACAGGAAAAAAAAAAAAAAAAAAGCCCACATATCCATTCCCGTATGACTTGCTTGTCCTCTTTTCTAAATAAAAAGGAATGCCAGTCCCAGAGTATATGAATATATCACTCTTGCAAAAGAGGGGTGGGGGGGGAGAGAGGTAGGGAGAAGGTAGGAGGAAAGCAACTTTCTCCAGGTTGCCCACCCCCACCCCCACACACATACATCCTTAGTTGTGTGTAATTAGTTTGCTGTGGGGGCACACGCAGCACCTCCATCTCTACCTGGCAGAAAGTAAGCTAGGTTATCCTCCCTCTTTAAATTAAATTTCATCAAGTGTATGTCATGGTGAGTTCTGGTCTATGGTTTTTGGTTTTTTGGGTTTTTTTTTTTTTTTTTTGAGGGGTTGGGAGGGCACTTCCGATAATCTCTCTTAAGCATGTGATCTGAATGGAGTTCTATATTTGTTACTATATAAAAGATTACATAGGGAAGGAATCTATCCCAGATTCTTTCCTATATTTTTTTTTACCCTTATTTTCAAGGCAAATTGTCACATTGGTTTTGTTTCAAACTTTTAAGGAAAAAAAAAGTATTCTAATATCCCCTAAAATTGAAGCTCAATTAGTACTTATAAAAGTAAAATTAAAATCCATTTTGGTGCTTTTATATCACCAGCAAGAAATAGTAAATGGATATAGCTTATCGGTTCATTTTTTTACACTACCAACAAATAAACATTGTAAACTCTGTTTAAAACCCAAAACCTGAGTGTTCAACAAAGAATTGCACAAAAAAAAAATCTTAAAATATCTATGACCATTTATGGAAATAGTGAGATTGGAAAAATAAGTGTTTCCCCCGAAAAAATAATCAACAATTCAAAACCTCCCTGTTGACAAAGGTTCAAATAATTCATTTGTGTTTCCTGAGTCATTTTGTAATCAGTTCTATTTCCCAAGATTCTTACCAAAGTTGTATCTAAGCCCAGCCCTTATAACATTTAGATATGCTTGAACCCAAAAAATTATGCTACTGACAGAAGGGTACAAACCCCACAGTGAAAGGATGAAGCATTGGGCACAGCTGAGGTCTGTTCCCCAAACACTGCCTGTGAGAACTGGCAGGGAAGCCACGGAGCATAAGAGACTAGAAGAACTCACTGCTGGCTGCAGAGAAAGGAGCCCACTCCGGGTTGACAATGAAGTAAGACCACATCTTCCTGCAGGATGGGATCTATTCAGGTAACCACCTGCAGGAACGCAGTACAACACAGCCAAAAGCCACAGAAAACTTCCAAAAAATGAGGTGAGGGGTAGGGAGATAGAAACATGTGGCTGCCCTAAACTAATAGTGCTCCACTCTTTTGCAATATCTGTAGCATTTTAAATATTTTCTTTAAACTATTTTGAAATCTGATAGGTTTCGTAGACCTTTCTGTCCCTGGACCCGGGCTCCCTCCAAGGCTGTTTTTAAAACACGGCCTTTTTACATTACCCACTCCTGGAACATCATCTGTGTCTAAGTTTCCAGTGCTTACTGAGGTCAATTTTCATTTCTGCAAATCACAGGCAGCCACTTGTTTCTGAGAAGTTAACAAGCCTCCTGAGAAATGCTAGTGGCTGGTATTTCATTGTTTCATAAATATTTTTATACAGTGACACCATTCAACTTGAAATAAATCTTCAAAAATAAAGACAATTAAAAAAGCAAAGAAAATTGTGATCTGGACTTTATTTTCGCGAGACGAGAAGAAGGGAGGTGTGAGAGTCCCATTGTTTTCAACTCTTTAAAAATGTTGCTTCGATTTAAAAGAATACAAACACATGAAAAAAGAAAGAAAACTCAGAAGTTGAGCTTTCTTCACAGCGGCCCTGTGGACTTTTGAAAACAAGTGTTGTTGCAGCTACGAACAAAGACTAGAAAGAAGTGCACCCTGATTTTTTTTTTTTTTCCCCTTCCTGGGGATCATTTCTCTTCCGATAAACAATCAAATCCCCCAGCATTTCCTACCGAAGGGAAGTTTTCCAGGGAGTCTTCTCCAGGGTTTGTTGGTAACTGCGACTCAGTCTTTTTTGGACACAATGTTTCTGCTGACTCCTGAAAATTTTCCACTTGAATGTGCAATGAAGCAGCGGCGGCCGCAGCAACAGTCCTGGAGCAGCGGCAAAGACCGCCGAGCCTGCTTTCATCTTTGAGAAGAAGGAGCGAACCCCCGCCAGCAGCACCAGTCCGCGCAGACCCCCGCCTGGCCTCGGGGGGCCCCCCCCCCGGAGCCTGCTCCCCCTCACGGCCCTCGCCACCCGCGGGTGCGGGGGGGAAGCGGGTGTCGGGCCGGCTCGGGACTCGGAGGCGGCGGCCCCGGCTCCCCGGCCCGCGTTCGCGCGGAACTTCTGACTTCTCGGGGCGCCCGTGCCGCCCGCCCGCGGGTGTGTGCGCGCGAGCGCGTGCCGGCGGGCGGGCGGGCGGGCGAGGGGGCGCGGCGCGGCCGTCCGGGCGCCCCGGGGGCCGCCGGCCGGGGCCGCCTGTTGCCGCGCGGGCTCCGCAGCGCGCGGCCCAACTTGGCGTCCCGGCAACTCGCGCGGCGGCGCCCGGCCGCTCACCTTGAAAGGGGCGCAGGGAGGCGATCGCGGGGGCCCGGCCCTCCGCGCGCCCGCCCGCCCGGCGCACACAAAGCAGAGCCGGGAGAGAAAGGAGGGCCGGAGCGGAGCGCGCTCCTCCGGGCCCCCGCCCCCGGCGCCCGCGCGCCCCCCGCGCCCCCCGCGCCCGGCACCGGCCCCGCGCGCCAACTTACCTCGGCGAAGGCACCGCCGCAGCGCCCCGCGCGTCCGAGGCAAACTTCAGCAGCGCCGCTTCCCCCGCGCTGCGCCGGCGCCCGGCTCCCTCCCGGCTCCCGGCTGGGCCACCCCACCCCTGCCTAGCGCCGCTCCTGCCCCGGGGCCGGCCGGACGCGCCGCGCGGCTGCCCGCAGCTCCGGGCGACGGTGCGCGGGGCGGGGGCGCGTCACTGCATGGCCTGTCCTGGACGCGGCCGCCCCGGGCCCGGGCCCCGCCGCGCGGACTGGCCGCGGGTGGACGCGAGTCTGCAAAGTGCTTGGTGGGCGCCCGCGGCGGGCGGCGGGGCCGCGGCGGCGGCTGCAGAGGCTCGGCTCGGCTCGGGCGGCGCGGCGCGGCGCGAGCGATGCTAAGAATGTTCGGAATGAGGACAGGAATGAAATGAACGCCAGGACCGAACTCGCTCCGGAGGGGTGGGGCCTCGGTGACGTCATGCGGCCGGCCGCCCGGGGCCGGGGGCGGGGCCTCCCGCGCCGGTGACGTCATGGGGAGGCTGGGCGGGCCGGGCCGGGCCGCCGCGCCGCTGGGGCGCGGACTCCCCGCGGAGGGGCGGCGGGGCGGAGTCTCCGGCCCGCTGGGGCGCGGGGCGCGCGCGGGAGCCGCCCTCTCCCCGCCCGGCGCGGGCTCCGGGCTTTGTCCCGGGCTGGGCGGGGCGGCGGGAGGAGGGAGCCGGCGGTGCCTGCGCCCGCGCGGAGAACTCTGGAATCCTGGGTTCTCGCCCCGGGGCGCGCGCGCCCAGCCGGCCCTGCCTCAGTTTCCCCCGTCCCGGAGGCGCGGGCGCGGGCGCGGGCGGCCGCGCCTAGAGCCGCTGGGCGCGCAGAAGTCTGCAAGGGCTGGGGGAGAAGTTGCGGCCCCCCGGTTTCAGGTGGCGCTCCAGCGCGGGGGCGCCGTCCCCGGGCGCGCTGCCCGGCCTGCCATGTCTTCCCCTCGTCTCTTTCACTTTGGGAGGCGCGCAGGGGTCTGAGTTAGAGCGAGATCTGCCCTGTTGGGAAGGGAGACCTTGAGCGTGGCAGAGGAAGCGTAATTGCAGAGTTCGTGATCACCCTGGCCTGCCAGCAGCGGTTTCTCTCCAAGTCGCTAAAGAAGTTAAATGCACTTACTCCTGCTGTGTGTGCTTTCGAAAGTAATGCGTCAGGGGAAATCTCCCTCGATTTTAAAATACCACATCTGGCAACTTCACATCGTGTGTGTGTGTGTGTGTGTGTGAGTGAACTTCACTTCCGTAGTGGAAGATCAATTCGAATCCTAACCTTTGCGGGTAGTCACGAAAAAGTGACATAGACTCAGTGGGAAATGAGGAAACAGCTCGGTCAAGTTGACCCACTGTGGGCAGAATTGTCTATAAAGTTTTGGTTGATAGTAATCTGCAATTTCATTTAAAGTAGCAATGTGGTTCCCTCTGTTCCTTCTAGACACTTTGCTCTCCTTTCCAGTTGGGGCATCAGGATAAATAATGGTGCCTGCTTTATATACCCCACTAGTCCCTAAATATGGGTGGGGGAGAGAAGTCAAATGTGATTGCTGCAGCACATTTTCTAAAAACAACTTTTACTAATGCATTTTACGTGAATTTTTGTTGTTGAGATAATTGAAAAGGCACGTGCAGTTGTTAAATAATAATAGAGAAATCCTTTGTTCACTTGGCCCCAATCTCCCCAATGGTAATGTCTTCCTAAACTATAAAATAATAGCACAATCAGGATATTGACAGTCCACATATCTTATTCACATTCCCCCCTGGTCTTACTTAAACTTATTTGTATGTGCCGGTAACACAGTTCATACAATTTTCTCATGGTTGGGTGTTAATGTATTTTACCTCTAGTTTGCATATAAGAAGATGATACAGTTCGGTTCACAGTAATGACCCCAGCCACCTTAACCCTGGTTTTTGGAAATGTGTTAGCAAAACACGTAATTAATTTGGCATTTAAGTTGTACTAGGCAGATCTCTGTCCAAATGTCCTCTAAAAGCATCAGAGTCTGATGGCAGTGCCAACTAATTTGTGTGGCTTCTAATCTACTGTTTTTTGACCCAGTGCACCTGGGCACTTTTCAGGCTCTAGGTTCCAACTAACCTAACAATACAAGGTCTCCCATTCCTTAATGAATTAAGGAAAAATTCCTTGACCTGAGGCTCAACTGTGTTCATGACTATCTTACTACGAGTTCCTGACCAGTGTTCGCTCCAACTTCTCCTTTGTACAGGCATTGGAACTCACCTTAAAAACCTTTTCTTCCAGAAGATTAAATATGTCCTTCTCAGAGGCCTGAAGCTCCTTGCTTCACACACACTATTTGCATTATGTTCTGGTGATGGCCCCATATTGAGCCCTTAGAAAGTTGACTGGGTGTTATTCAGCTAAGCCCCTAGAAAGAGGACTGGGTCTCCTTTGGCTAACCTGCCCCGGACCTGTATGTAAGCAAGAAGATAACTCATTGTTGTATCTCCATCCTAAGTTCCACACATTTTCACACATTCGAGTCACCCATTGCTCAATGCATAGGACCTATGTGTTTATTGCCCAAGAACTATTTCCTCTAGCCTCTGAGGACATGAACAATGTCTGCTAAAATGATAGCAGCTGCCATGTATTTGGCATTTTGCATTTACCATCTCAATCCTCATGGCACCCGTAGAAGGTGGTGTTTATTGGCTCAGTTCATACAGGTGAGAAATAGGTGTAGGAAGGCTTAGGCCTTGCCCCTGGTCGAAAAGTCAGGAGCATAGGAACCTGAATTCCTTCTGATTTCAGCCCTTGTTTATAACCACTGAGTTCTGCTCGCAAGGCTGAAATTGATGTATATGTATGTATATTACCTCATTGAATCCCCACAACTCCCCTCTGAGGTAGGCAGTCTTACTACTCTCATTTTATAGATAATCAAACTAAGGACCAGAGAGCTGAAAAATTTGGTGTGGATCCTCCATCTAGAAAATACAGAGAGGATTCAAACCCAGGCAGTCCAGATTTCGTGCTCTTAACCTTCCACTTAACCACCAAATGCAGCACTATAATAAATGCAAAGATCAACCTTTTGCAGTGGTAACCTACCCTGACGTATCAGTGTATGTGTGTCACTAATGGAACAAGAGAGTTTGTTACCCTCCAAATTTACTAAGAAAGAAACTAACTTGTAACACATAAAAGAAAGTGATCCACTTCATGCTAAGTAACAAATCATGCTGACAGAACTGAGTTCCCCTGAAATGGGGAGGGGGATAGGGGTGCTTTGAAATTTGCCCTAAGGAAGCACCTGCCTTGTCAAGCTATTAAAATGAAAGACAAAATATATCAATGATACTGATACAATTTATCTTATGTCCAATGAAGTTGAGCACCTTTCTAATTGGAATATAAATTGGTGCAACCACTTTGGAAAAGTTTGATGTTAGCTCATGAGAGATAGGCATACTCTATATCCCCAAAGTTCCTTATAGGATTACAGCCAAAATAAACTCAGGTACCTGTGCACCAGGACACACACACATGAGTGTTCATTTTTGTAATAACCTCATACAAGGTGCAAGCCAAATGTCCATTAATGGTAGAAAGGATCAGTGAATTGTGATACAAGCATACAATCAAATACTGTGCAGTATTAAAAATGATTGAAATACAACCACATGCTACAGTTTAGATGAATCCTAGAAATACAATATTGAGGGAGAGAAGCATGAAAAATACACCGATGTAATATAATTGTGTTAATATAAAGTTCAAAGCCAAACAAAATTTAACAGCATTGTTTGAGGTTACTTAGAAAGATGGTAAAACTAGGAAGAAAAAAACTAGCTTGAAGAACATAAAATACTTAATAATACCCCTGTTCTAGTGTACATTGTGTCAGGGAAAAGGAGAAGCAGGAGCGGAGGCTTCTGAAATGCTGGCAATCTTACAGAGTTTTCTGCTTACGTGATTGTTCACTATAATGATTTATTAACTTATGTATTTATCTGAGCACTCATTCCTACAAATTTGTTGTATTTCACAAGGTTTTACAAAGTTAAATAACAAATGCTAGTGAGAACTGTCAATGTCTTCCAAGTGCCATGACTAGATCTGATTCTGAATTTTATCTGTCACACTTTTGCATAATTCTTGCAATATATGATCCTTTCCACATCTTCCAATCTATATTGGACCCTTTCCATCAATATTTAAAACACACAAGTCTCTCTCCCCCATCTTAAAAAAATAAACAAACAACCTATCGCTCTAACCTCATCCTTAGCAACTGTCCTCTCACCTCCCTTTCATAGCTATGCAGCTGAAAGGAGTTGTCTGAGTTCATTACCTCCACGTCTTTACCTGTCACCATTCCTCGACTCTTTCCAATTATTCTTCTGCCTCCATCATTTATTCTCAAAACAGGT